AAAGGGCCGTTCCCATTGCCACAATGCGTTGATCACGGCATGTTTGAAGACCCTCTCGGCCATCTTCATGATATCCTCTTGGATATTGCCATCTCGTCTGAAGAAGTCTTGACCCTGCATCAAACTGAGCAGATCTTGGCCATAGTTGTTCTTGTCCCCTTCCATCAGCTTCTTCGACTCATGTGCAATGCTGATCATACTGTGATGGCGAAAGTCGTTCAAGGATGAGCGTATAGCCGTCTCGACATTGTCAGGAAGTTTCACAGGGTCAGCTCGAGCGTTGTTGATTGTGCCGATGACGGAGATGTAGGTAGACGAGGCCATGTTGACCATCGAAGGCGCGGCAGTCTTGTCGAGACCGATGAAACCTGGGATAGCTAGTGCCCCACCAGCCATCATCAGTAGAGCGGAGACGGCGGCCATGCCGAGCTTCTCTTGCCTCTTGTGATCGTTCTTCTCCTGTTGGATTTGCGTCGAGATGCGTGATGCAGCGCTGTATCTCGCCACAAGTGAAGGTACTTGTCCATCCGCATACAATGCACTTTCCTGTAAGCCTTCGCGAAGGCTCTTGTACAGGTGGTCCACACCGGCAATCTGTTCGAAGAGGAAGTAAGCCATCTGTCGATTGTGTTGCGATAGCGCGGGATTGAGAGCTTGGCAAGAGAAGCTGCATCCTCCAACAGTGTCACAATAGGAGGCACTTGGCGCTACACTGGGCGCAAGCTTGTCGCGAAGATAGTGCGGGAATGGGTTGTAGCCTGGGTCGTTCAGATAGCCGCTCCAGTGCGCGGCAGCAAATATCTGGATGCTCGGTAGGTGCTGCCTCCAGGTCTCGGCGGTGGGGGTGACAAGGCCACAGCTGTCCGATGAATACGAAGGCACTGAGACATGTCCGCCGGGGCCCTGCGTTGGTGGTGGTTTCCGAGGATCGACGTTGACGGGAGCGCCGTTGGCGAAGGTCACAAGACAGACCAGGATTCTGGTTATGAGAATCGTGAACAGCATCTTGATAGTTAGCGTCTCTGTGAAAGGGGTTTGTGGTAGTAGTAGTACTTACTGTTGTAGTGGTGGTGGTAGTTGAAGTTGTTGTAATTGAAGCTGTAGTTGAAATTGTAGTAGTGGTAGCTGTCGTTGTACTAGTGGTGATACTGTATCTTCAGAAGAGTTAAAGTGTGCACGATATCCGGCATGTTATATACGAAATCCGACGACAGTGCGGTGATGAGATTTTCGCCTCGAAATGCGGCGATTTCTCTCAACCATGGTTGTCACCTATTCCAAGTCTACCAGCTGAGTTGCATCAGGCTCTGCATTGGCTACTTGTTTCGTCAACTAGGCCTGAATATCCAGCGATGTTCCGTAGTTAGCATGAACACAGTGGGAGTTGCGGGAAAAAAGGCAGTGAACCAGAGTTCAGATCTCAGCGCACCGGCCATATACATCTAGAATGACAATTAGTAGCCTCGATTATGGTCTATAGCCGCTCCTGACGGGGCAGTGGTGATAGCTCCAAAGATGCGCCAGCCTTCCAGCGTATCGTGTGCAATAGATATCCTATGCTGAACTCTGGGTGTCTGAGTACCGGAAGAAGAAGCTTGTTGGGATTGCTGGATGCGCCGCATCGCGAGAGAAGCTATTGGTATCGCAGAAGGAAGGTATCCCAGATTGCAAGAAGCTAGCGTCTGAGTCGCTATCCAGAGTGATCTGATACCGTAACGCGAGTTGCGCTTGGTGGTGCGCAATCGCGAAGTTCCGAGGTGCGTCATCGCCGTGTTTGGCTTAGTGCATCTTAGTCATCTTCAACCCCCGAGCTGCCGATGGCGCATGTGGCCTCCTTCAACGCGACACAAGCATCACCACTTTGCACGACAGCGTCATCAACAACGGATATAGTCTACATTCCCGAGTCCTTCTATATGGGATATCTCATTCTCCTCTCCTTCTCCACACCGAACGCTCGGCCGTGAACGTGACAACCGTCCTATCGCGTGTGCGAATAGCGCTCCTTATTGACAACGATGTTCCACCACAATACTACTACCAGAGTTCACAGGCCTGATACGATAGTTGTCTCCATCCACTTCGAACGTAGCAGGCGCTGTATCGATAATCGTCAGGAGCGTATTGCTTATTCCCTCGGCTACGCCAGTTACGTTGGCCGCACGATACGAGCAACCCGGAGGGATGTACATCGTACCAATGAAGCCATCTGTGGAACCCTCCCATTTCGTAAGGCGCATCCGGTCACAGACCCCATTAATCGAAGAGATCGAACAGCCTTTCTCTAGCTCCATACTCAGACCCTCGGACGTGTGTATTATCGCGCGATCCCCACGGAAGGCGATGGATGTTACGGAGTAGATCGGCAATGAACAACCGCGCTCCAGGAAGACCTTCACCTGCACAGCGGGAGCGGCCTCGGTCGTACATCGCACTGGTGCGAATGTTCCGGCTTCTTGGAAGAATGCAGTGGCTGCGTCGTGGCTCCACCTGGAGATGCGTACTTCTGGCTTCGGCACGTCGTACATGCGCACATGTCGTCGAACATAGCTCGAAATGTCGCTGATTCGCAGGTTACGAAGCATTTTCACATCCCACGCAGTTATACACATGTTGATCTCGGGCAGCAGCATCCGCATATCCTGGACCGCCTTCGTTGTCTTAATCTCGGCGTTCATTCGAGTCAGCCGTTCCCGTTCAGCGTCGAGTAGAAGTCCAACTGTTCGACAAACTTCTGGCTCTACGAAGCACTCGTCGAATACTTGTTCCAGGAAAGCATGCGTTTTGCGCGCTTTGCTCTCATCGGCCAAGAGCAAGAGTTCGTACGCTAATGACAGTACAGTAACCAGCAGGAACACGTACTCTGCATCCCCCTGACACACTCCGAGGTTCTCTTCGATCTCGAATGTCGCGATTATCGGCCTAAGAACGCGCCGATCCCAGTCTGTTCCGGGACCGAAACCGTCAGTCGACACGATCGTGGCGATCTCCTGTTGGACACGTTCGACTATCCTCTCGCTGAGGCTTCCGAGAACCGAGGGAGTGATATCTGGTTTTTGCGGATAAGACTTTTCGATCAAGGTGCTGTGTATACCCCGAAGGATGGTCAAATGGCTGAAGGGTGTGTTCTCGTGAGGGACCGCGGCGATGGACGTGATTGTGGATGAGGTTGATTGCGTCGGCAGGCTCGATAAGCTCGATACGTCCGATAAGCTTCGTACTTTCAACCAGCTTGCTACTCGCGAACGGCTATCGCCCATAATGCTTGAGGTCGAGCTCGATCGCGTCGACAAGCTCGATACGTTCGATAAGCTTCGTACTCCTAGCCAGCTTGTTACTCTTGACCGGCTGTCACCCATGATGCTTGAGATGCGCTTGAAGCCGTCTTCTGCGCTACTTTACAAGCCGTCTTGTAGCCCGCGACTAGCTTGGCCATGTCTTCGCGAAAAAAGTCACGTTCCATTCGTGAGACATGTGTCTCAAGTCTTGCTCAGACAATGTCCACAGAGGTCTCAGCACACGATTGCTTTCAACATTACAGCGCGAAGTCGACTAGTCGATATGAACCAATGTAGGTATACTCAGGATTGATTCGCTAATTTTGGGAGCGCAACGTCAACCGCCGAAGTTCCCAACGACCCCAAACAAATCACAGAAGGGCCCGACCTTACCCAGAACTCCTTGTCCACATCATGTTGGATATATCATCCCAGAAGTTATCCTATATCACGCATTCTGCATCCTCTTCTGCTTCGTCCGCCAACGCGAGGAATCCGAGCCCTCGATAAGCCTCGGCGATACTCATCGTCCCTTCCCCTTCCCAGTCTCGAAACCGGTCAAGTACATCCAATACAGCAGAATCGACCCATCCTCTCTCCCTGTTGGATTTCACGATTGCCCTCAAGATCGTACGCACTGCAACGTATTCTCCTGGCCCGCCAGGATACAACAATTTTGCTTCCTCGAGCGACGTTCCCCTTTGGCTCATATCGGAAGATTGCGCGGCCGTACGCAGTGAGTCTTTGTAGCAAGGAAATGCTTGCTGGAAAATGTCTGCCCATGCAAGACCTGTTGACAACCTTCCAGTCGCATCTTCTCGTAACTTGCTAAGTATCACGAACAGCTTTTCGACGATTTCGTAAAGTGTGTCCGTCAAGCCAGTAGTCTTTAACAAATGTTCCATGAGATATATTGCCTCCCATTTCTCCTCTGCCCAGTTGTCTGAGAGAGCAGGATCAAGACACTGTAGAGCGAAATCTCTTTTCGGTCTAGGGCGTTGGCAAAGACCCATGCGGCAGTTGGGGCATGTAGCTTCGTCACTTGGACCGTCCCTCAGCCAATGGTCGAGACAGTCGCGGTGGAACTTGTGGCCGCAGGGGGTCGCGACGACGTCTGGCGCCACGTCGCTCAAAGCATCGTGATATGAGATGGCGCATATGGGGCACTCATCGTCGATATTGTTGGGTGTGGAGGCAGTGAGGCTGGTGGTGTAAAATGTGTAGAGAGTTGGTATGGCCATGGTGGATACCTGTGAAGTTGCGAGTGAGCTTGGATGGCGGCGTGAATGGCGACTTGAATGGGGAATTGGATTGCGGCTTGAACAGGAGATGTATGGTCTCGAAAGAAGTGTGTGCTAAAGGCTCGTTTTATACGGAATCCCGCAGAGGCTCTGTGGGATCTGAGCGAGAAAATATGGTGCGTATCCATGGTTCGCGACCAAACACTAGGCCAACCAGCGGCCTGAGAAACGAATGCCTCGCCAATAACATCCTGCTTACTGGCGGCCAAGAAAATGAATCGGGATACGCCTATTATTTATGGCTGAAGCATTGTCAACCCCACACACCACGACTACGCCTTGCGGTGAAGGCGAGCGTCACCCAATCGGGCAACCCTGGTTTCTCCGCAAGCGGACCCTGACCCAGTCCGCCAACTTGCTTCCTCTTCACTACCTACAACCACACTCAGTACCAAATAACTCACATCCACCAACCCGCACCATGGCTTTGCCCACCCGCACCGAGTTCTATCGCGACCATTTAGCACCTTGTCGCATTCTCCCAGGTGCGCCCAAGTACTCAGATGTCGGCATCTGCGTTGTTTGCCAAGAGGACTTCAACGATGCATCATATGACATGGTCGCCGTCAGAAGCTGCTCGCACGTCTTCCATCGCAAGTGCATCATCCAGTGGACCGAAACCTGGAGCTCGCCCCGCGACACATGCCCCTCGTGTCGGGAGTCGATGTACCAGTATACGCCAATGACGGCCCATGAGATCCAGGCCATGCAGGAAGCGCAGGCAATTCAAGACGCTGAGACCCGGCTATCAGAGTTGGGTCCGTTCGCTGCAGCGAGAGAAGCTGAGCGCGTCTGGTTCGCGTCCATGGGAGTGTCGGTCGAAGATCTCCCCGCCTTTGACGACATGACTGAACCGACACACTTTTCTGATGAAGACGGCGAGGAGATTGCGACGTCTTTGGACATGAACTTCAATCCGAATGTGTCGCTGCAAGTCCCGACTTTCGCAGACTTTGGAAGCGCATCGCCAGCATACTCTCCAACATTTCCAATGTACTCCGACGCATCGCTGGGAGAATCGCCCACGTCACCCAGATACTCTCCTCCCTCTCCGCGATTACCTCCCACATGGCCACTATACGCCCAGTCAACGCCATTGTATTCCCCGACGGTCCCGATATACTCCGATGCATCACAAGGAGAATCTTCTACATCGCCAGTATACCAACCGTCGTTGCCGGACGCACGAAACCAAGGGGGTCACACAAGCCCGGAGCAGTCGACGCAGCTGGAGCAGTCGACGCAGCTGGAGCAGTTGACGCAGCTGGAGCGGATGCGTGGCGTCATATCCAGTGAATTCACCATAGCGAGAGAAATCTCCAACGTCGCTGTCGTCCACACAGTCCATTCGTCGTTACCGAACTCATACCTTGCGACAAGTTTCCACGCCAACAGCGAGTACCGGAGTGAGGCGGCAGTGCATGGTGCAATTGGATACGTCATGGTAGGCAGGACGGCGTTATTTTACTATTAATCGGAGAGCGCAATTGGGAAGGAATGGTTTGGTAGCAAACGTCACTTCGATCTGAAGTCTTTATCATTGGAAGAGGGGGCGTCACTGAATACGTCGTCCGGGCAGGTAGAGACTACTTTATTAACACATTCCACCATTTCCACATGTGTTCATCCTTCGTTCTCGTCGTGTTGCGCTGTAATGTGACGGTGCTTGCATTGAAGGTCTCCTTTCACTTCTACTATAACCCAGTCACTGCACAGCCATTGCGTCATCCAGTGCTATTGTTTCTGAACAATTCGACCCGTCGCATTCATTTTCACACACTAATACAATATGCCTGTTCGCGACAATAGCAGGCTTTTTCTCTCAATAGAACTTGAGCCAGGCCCGGACCTATATTATCTGCTTCACGTCACCGCCGTCTCCTCAACTCTTATCTCCTCAGTCCAGCCTACGACATTGCAAGATCTACACGCACCATATCAGAACCTTGTTACCCATCTATCTTTCAACGCACCCACACTGCAGTTTCCAGACATGTCGACATCGACCTCTATGATACCTACCGCCTCCGTTAGTGTGAATGCTCCGCGTTCGCGCCCATCTTCGCTGGACGAGGTAGCGCCAATGACGCCTCACCGCTGGTCTTCCCCTGCCTCTGAGAGTACCAATGAAGAAGATCTTGATGATCTATTCGAGGACGAGACTACCTGGGGCCTCAACTTACCGCCTATTGTGAGTCAATCTGCGCTTGCTTTCATCAACACTTCTGACCCATTTTCGCAGCCTAAATCCTCACCCATCTCCTCTCCTGACGAAACCCATGTCGCTAGTCCTCAGAAGCGCAAACGCGATTCCCTCGCTATCGATGACGACAACTCCGACGACTCGGGCGACTCTACGCTATCCAAGAAGGCCAAAATTGCCGATGAAGAGACGGAGAAGAAGGGCGAGGGCAAGGAAAACGAAGCCGCTCGACGATACCGCACCCTCGCCACAGCCGCTTCGCTGAAGCCATCTACCAACAACGCGAACAAATTTCTCGACAGCATGAGGAAGCAGCGCTCAATCCCCACACCACGCTATGTCCCAACCGGCCGCGAGCGCCGCGACGAAGTCAACCAGCTCGCCGCACGACACGTCCGGCACGTCGCCCCCGCCATGCTTGCCAACAACGCGACGAAACGCGACATCGGCGGCGCGATGACCAAGTTTGACTGGGCAGAATCCAAGCGCGAGATCCCCACCTCCCAGATCAAGGCGCCTCCATCCACATCCATGCTTCAGAAATGGGTCGACTCGGACGATGAACACATAACCTGGTTCATCATTCCCGCTTCACACAAATACATCAACACGGGTAGCATGATGGTGGCCATTGCGGACATCGTCGACAAATCGATCAAGTACCCAGAGTGGACGTTTGTGGAGAAGATTATGGGGCCGCATTGGAAGACGGGGGTGGAGGTTGTTAAGGCGGTTAAGGTTAAGTATGAGAAGTTGACGGATGAGCAGAGTCTGGAGAGGATGGGGGTTATGGTTAAGCAGAAGGAGGATGAGGTTAGGCAGGCGAGGAAGGATGAGGCGGCTAGGAGGAGGAGGGAGAAGAGGGAGGAGAGGGCGAGGAAGAGGGATGAGGAGGATGGGTAGGGGGTTGAGGGAGTTTAAGATGGAGTGAAGTTGGGTAGTGACAGATGTCATTCGCGTGTCTCTGCGCGTGAAGATATGTAGCTTAGCCGGCCACAATTGGATTATGATACTCTTATCCACACACCTCTACGTGCATGTATACTGCAATCTCCCCTATGGATAGAAGAACAACTAATCATGACGCCACTGTAGCCTACTCGCATACCTGCGTCTCCAAGTTTTGAAGCTCGTTGGACCAAGGTAGTCGCATCATCAACCACGGTTTCGACTTCCAAGATACACTATGTCATCAGTGAATGTAGAGAGCAGTTCAATATGACCTTTCACTCAGCATTTAGTCGCTAGCGTGCTAGAACAATACTTCTACAACGTACGCACTATTCTTCACCTCCACCCAGACAGCTCGCGACAAGCATTGAGAGGCGCGCAACACCACCCACCTTGACGTCAACGCCACAGCCACCGAAAGCAAATCGCAACTCCACGAGGAGCCCAGGCGTACACGATGTCTCCACCGATCGCGAGAACGCCGACAAGTAGCGCTACGTCGTCGCCTCACATCACGTTCTCGATGAGCACACCAACTGGACTGAGCCCGTATGCACCCAGCGTACCCGTCGCATACCCCACCCAGTCGCCCATGGTCCACCCAGGACAGAAGCGCCCAAGATCAGAAGATGAATCGCAAGAAGCGCTCGCAAAGCGCGCCCGCAACGACTCCATCACAACATCCCAAGAGCAGCGCTACAACTCCAACAAGCCCGCCATCGAAGCCTGGTGCAAAGCGCAACAAACCCATCCCAAAGCACGTTGGTACGAGAAGCTTCACGCTTGGGAAACGAATGGCTGTCGCGACGTAAGACGCAAGTCAACAGCAACAACATCACCACCCACTCCCGCCGCCATCACACAAACCCCCGGAATGGATTCGCCCGCAGAGATTCTGAACATTAGACGGGAATGGGGCGACACAAAACCTGACCGACGCACGCATCCCCTCGACAAAGCTCCAGTCCCTGAATATCCCACCGAAGATTCACTCGCGGCTTGTACAAAGAGGCCAGATGGTTTGTACAAGTGCCTACATCCTGAGGGAAGTCACCACAAGTGTTGCCGCGAGGGTCTTACAGAGAAGAACAAGAAACATGCTATTGGCAAGCAGATCCGGGCGTGGAAGACGCGGGTTGAGGAGATGGTGTTGAAAGGGGAACTGCATGTGGCGCATAAGACGTGGGGGGATTGGAATAAGAAGAGTAAGGGGGAGTATGGGGGGAGGTGGAGAGGTGGGATGGGGTTTTGGGGCTGTTGGGGGGTTTGCAGGGGAGAGGGAAAGGAGGACAGGGAGTTGCGGCGTCGCCAGTTCCTCGTTCTGCAGGGACGCCAGTTCCTCGTTCCGCAGTGGCACCTGCTCATCAGAATCCTAGTAAGGCCGCACTTCAAGCAGTCCCGCAGGGACATGGGCATCAAGCGTTCGTTCCATCCGCATCACCAGCTCAGCGGATGTCCCCGTTGCGACAGGCTCCACCAGCACATGCGGCATCACGGCAGTTCCAGCATCTGTCCCCACAGCAGCGGTCAACTCAACAGCCAGTCAATACGGGCAGTATGACTGCATCCCGAGGTCAGCCGATACTTCTGGCGCAACCTCAAGCCCAACATACCTTCCTCAACTCGCCAACACAATCTCTCACTCCCTTGGCCATATCAACAAGTCCCGCCCCAGCAGCAAAGCGTCAAGCCGGCGAACCTGCATTTGGCTACAATGGATTGCCCCCAAATGGATCACATCGACAGCAGGAACTTGCCAGCTTCTCTCCGCAGCGCAGGTCGCAGGAGCATGCTGCGATCGCATCTGCAACAACGCCCTCATACGCTCACCATTTGGCGCAATATGCAACACCGCCGCCTCGGATACTGTCGCCAGTCGCCTCTGCACAATCGGGTCATCATAGTAACGATTTGACTACACCGCACTCCATGAGTCGAGGGCGAGGGAACCGCCAACAGCAACAGCAAGCTCCGCCGCAGGCTGCGAATGCTAGACAGCAGCAAGCCACCGTCCAGCTGCCATCATCAGGCCCACCGACAAACCATGCGGCCAAACCACATCCAGTACCAACCCAGATGACGACAAGCCCAGACTCAGCGCCAAAGCGCACTTCCGCTTCCACCCTCACACCGAAAATGTCCTCCACCACCCACACACTCTCGCCGGACAAGTCGTCCACGCTTGCAGCTTCATCTCCTGCGAAGGCAGAGCCTGCTGTCGACTACCGACCGACAGCGATGCGCATGCTGCAACAGCAGATCAAAGACCATGAGCCTATTGTGCTTGGCGGACTGAAGATCACTAGGGATGATGTGAACAGCAATATGAGTGGCTGTGTAAGAAGACTGACGACAGCATTGCGGTTGGACGCTGAGGAAGCTGCGCGGAGGGAGGTTGAAGAAGCTGTAAAGAAGAAAGCTGAGGAGACTGCGCGTGCCAACTCGAAGAAAGCTTCTCAAGGCCAAGCTGAAACTACTGACGAGATCGCGGCTCTCGCAGTCTCAAACGAAAACGAAGGCCACGAACTATACTACCTCTTCTCCGACACCCCCATCTCCGCCTCTCATAGTCACCCCATCGATTTCGGCAACGTGAACGAATACCTCCTCTCCTCCAGCCCCGACAGTAACGACAGTACCGAATGGCGCCCCGAGTTCATACCCGACCTACCACCCAACTTCGGCAAAATGGACCTTATTGGAATGACACGTCGCGCCTTCGCCGAGGAACCCTCACCCTCACAACCAGAAGAGCAACCTGAGCCTGAGAAGGAAGAAGACACACTAGCAGACCTGAGCTACCCAGAAGCCTGGTTAATAGAAGACGTCGAGGACTTCGTGACCAGTGGTCCGCTTCCTGAGTGGATGCAACGGCCTACGACGGACTTCACTTTGGGGGAGATGGGTAAGATGGAGGGGATGGAGGGTTGGGATAAGGATATGGTGACGCCGTCGGATCCGGAGGAGTGGTTGCAGGTGACTAGGGCCTGGCGGGAGGAAAGGGATGCGGGTGCGCGTTGAGTGCGGATATATCGGGGTGGTGACGTTGCTGTCATGCCTGGATCGTTGTGTTTCTTGCTTGGTGGTTAAGGGCGCACATTACTATGATAGATGAAAATGTTGCGCGAATGCCATGGTCGCGTTTATCCTCAACCAGCCCTGGATGGTTCTTGTCTTGGCATGTAATGTTTGAGCTGGCTGTTCGCATGTTTCGCGGCGCACATACGTCAGCGGACAGAACGACGGTATTGAGTAGACAATAGCAAACAGGGTACCTGAGACGTCCTGCAGTGGCGCAGACTGATCGAGCGGTCGATATTCTGAAGTTCGCAGCCAGTAGAAAGCCCGCAGCCAGAGTCGCGCTCACTTCGAAGTCGATCCAAAGGGGTGTCATTGGCCACAGGCCCTTTCACCTCACCCAGCCTCATCTTTTCCCACGGCTCGAATGCTATTGTGCCCTATAGAAACCAGCCATCAGCGAAAATTTGCATGCTCACCTTCACTTTCGCAGTCCTTGCTATTGTAATGCCGGCAGAATAGACGTCGTCTCAGCCAAGAAGTCCTTACTATATAAGAAGGCCTTTCGTCTCCAAATCTTATGTTCTCCAGCTCTCTCTATCCATCTCACACATCCCATTACTTTTCAAGCACTACCATACCACTACTTTATCATATTCAAGACTAGAATCCAACACAAGTCATACCATACTACTACTTCACCACCACCACACACCCACACTACATCCGCGACCAAGCCAAATCGCCAAGATGTACGCAACGCCCCCCATCCGCATGTACGGAGCCGGAGCCAAGGAAGCCGCCGACGCCCGCCTCCTCGACGAGGCCAGGAGCCGTCGTGCCGCCGCCGCCACCACCAAGACCAACGTCGTCGTCGCCGCCAAGGCCGCCCACCTCGAGTCCGCCGACGGCATCCAAGAGCAGCTCGTGGAGCTCCGCCGCCGCCGCCAGTTCCTCGAGGAAGAGCTGAAGAAGAACAAGGCGGCTGAAGAGACTTTGCTCCGCAAAGCAGATCGGGCTTCGGCCATGAAGAAGACTGTGGTGGGGTTGGCGGAGAAGAAGGAGGAGAGGGAGAGGAAGAGGAAGGTGGCTTTCGAGCAGAAGAGGAGGGAGGGGGAGATGGGGAAGGGGCCGGTGGGGGTGGTGAAGAGGTCGCCGCAGAAAGCGGCCTGGAAGAGCAAGTTCAAGGACTTGTAGGTGGTGGGGGGTTTGGGGGGTTGGTCGGTCGAGTATGTAGCGGTTGATGTCGTCGCCGGGCTTGAAATCCGCCTGAATGAATGATGTTTCCCGACTCTGATGTATGCCTCAAAACGTGATCTGTGTCCTCACTTCTCCGGGCGCACGGTGATATGTAGTCGTAATGTCATTATATCTCAGCGCAGATACTCACCCCATCATCACTGAATACCTCCTGGCTACATGATTTCACGACGTGCGTACCCCAAGAATGTGATGTCTGCCTCAAAACGTGGTGGCAGAAGTCAAGTTCGACGTACCCCACAAAAGCCAGCTATGCGGCAGCGCACGGACGGACGGTGACGTACTGCGATATCGTGACCGACACGCACCTATTACGCCTGCGTGGCGACGACATGCACCTATCTCCCTGCATTCAACCACTTCCATCTTCTTTGTCAGCGGTAAACCTGTAAATCAACCTCCTCCTCCCCCTCTGCCGTCGCACCCGAAGACATTCCCCAGCCGCCTCACCCTTGCAGTGCATCATCCGATATCGCAACATCGTCATCATCGCAAAGCAACATCAAGCACGAACAGCACCTAAAAGAGCAGGTACTCAGCGCGTCCAAGATACGCGAGTTAGTGCTCTGATCTTGCATAGCGCTCGTATTCGCTGCTTAATCACGCCAATCTACCCCGGACTTGTTGCGGCTAGGCGAAGGTGGGAAGGTGTCACCACGGAACGTTGCCGAGACGGTAGCATCGGGTGGAGGAGCGCCCTGCAGGACCGACGATTGAGGCGCTATATTAATTCTTGGGGCGACGGTTCACGACGATTCACTGCGCTTTTCGGTGCGGGTTGCATGCGAGAGGTAAGAGGGACGGACGTGGTTGCTACTTAAGCTTTTCGCCACCACAGCTGAGGTACTTCAACGGTCGATCGATTCCTAATAAGAGGTGCATACAAGTTCGGACACGCGACACGATCAATCGATACCATGGAGCTACGGATTCGCGAGACAGAAAGTCCAGCACCGCAAACGCCTATCCCGCCGCTGCTGAACCTCCCTTCGGAACTACTCCATCATGTGCTCAGCTACCTCACCCTATCAGACCTCCTCACCGTGGGCATGGTCAGCAAAGTCCTGCGCACCCACACATTCCAAGACACGCTCTGGCAGGCCTTCGTAGAAGCCGAGGTGCCCAACGTCACGAAACCAGCGCGCCTCACCTGGCGAGAACTATACCAAGAACACCACCCATACTGGTTCATCGCGCGGCGCAAGATCTGGTTCGCCGACACAGCCCACACCGGCAAACTGCTCGTCGCGCGCTACGACCACCGACTCAACGCAATCGAAGCCTACGCCCTCGTCGCCGAACGACGATCACCTGTAGCTCTATCCTGGGACCAGCACCCCGAAGCTATAATCCACACCTTCAGCCCCAACGTGCGCCTCGACCTCAACGCGCCCATTGTGCGTCTGAACCGCGACGCCTACGAAGAAGCCATCGGAAACATCGGATACCGCCTCCAGAAAGAAATCCGCATGTCCCTCTACCGCGACCGCCAACAGCAAGCCGCATCCCTCTTCTCCCAACTCATGCTCACCCGCCCCTGGCCCCAGGCCATAACAACAGACGCAACGCCCGTCTGGCCGCCCCTCACCCTCCCCAGCGCAGACCGCACGCGAAACGACCACTCCCCATCCGGTTACCGCCAACCCGGCCAAAAACCCGCCACGCTCTCCCAGCTCTCAGACTCCACATTCCGGATTCGGCGCTGGATGGAGTTCTCAACCCGCGTCCTCGGCATGGGCATGCGCATCGGCGAGGACGTAACGACGTGGGCCACCCTACCAGAATCGTGCTACACGCCCACGCCCCAGAAACCATGGCAGGGCATCTGGTGCGGCGATTACGCGGGCCACGGCTGCGAGTTCCTGGCTATCATGCAGCCGGATGAGCGGGATGCGAAGCCGCTGCCTGAACGTGCGCTGTGGGCTATGCGGGCGAGAGAGCGGGAGGAGAGTGTGAGTAGTGAGGGGAGTTGGACGACGGCGCCGACGGATGCGGCGGGTTCTTCTGCTGACGAGGAGGAGTCTGTTGATGGGGGTGTTGAAATGGAGAGCGCGGATGATCTTGAGGATAGCGTTGCTACTTTACAGTCTGCTTACCACAATTACATTTCCACCTCAGGGGAGACATCAAACGACAGTAAGCATAGGTCGGACGAAGACGAATCGGTATACAAAGGCCGCATCGAAGCCGTCAAGCTCACCGGCGACCCAAACATTCCCCGCGGCGAATACACATTCATAGCACCGGATATTGGCCCCCATGGTCTTATTCGCGTTGCGAAGGAGGAGATTTTCAAGGGCGCGAGGATCGTGAGGAGTGTGGGACATATTGCTGCGACGGGGTTTAGAGATGGTATGTTTGTCCTTTTCTTTTTTCCTTTGGTGGTTAATGAAGGGGTTGTGGCGGATGGATGATGGGAGGGGGTGGGGAGACTGTTGCTGGGGGAAGTGAGAAGATGGATGCTAACGTCGAACAGATAACTACATGACAAGCCAGCTTATTCTCATCAGCCATGATCGGCTGGCGCAGTATTGGGAGACGTTTGGGCACGTGAGCTTTTATCAGAGGGTGGATGTTGATGCTTTTACGAGGGTGTGAGGGGAGTGTTTCGTGTTGACGCGCGGGTACGGAAGTTGGTAGGTAATGGAGTGTATTGACCATTAACTCATGCTTCACTCACCATTCCTTCCGAAACTTCGGTGTCAACGATGCACGATATTGTTTCTCGGTACCCTGAACCAAATGCGCACTCGCCTTGATGCCACGCCTAGAGTGACAGCGCCCGCCGCATGGCAGATCGCGCTTTGCTGGTTAAGGGCTAGTGCCGCAATCCCTGCTCCCGTGCGGCTTCGGAACGTCATCGCTCATCACCAAATTTTGGGGCAGCGCGTGTGATCAATACTGACGAACATTACGAAGATCCCACGCAGCACTTCAGGCGTTACTCACTCGTATAGAAAACCTATTCTTTACTCGGATTTGATCTCCAATCCAGACTTGACACATTAGTTAGCCTTCCCAAGCAAACATGGCGACGCACGAGCAGTACATACTGCACGTCACGGCGGGCGCAACCTACGACACGTCGAAACACGAAGATGTCCTGGTCAACAGCGAAAAGCCCGTCGACATATCCTCCGACTTGATCGACGCGCGCGTACACATGCGCATCAAAGACTACCGCGGTACGCCTCACACCTGGACCCCTCCATCATGCTGCCCCTCCAACGCTCCAGCTACTAACAAAGCCCAGGCCTACCAGAAGGCTCACCAAAGACTTCACCCTACTTCTCCACACCCCAACATCCCTACGATCGCTACTCGATATCCTTCTCCTTCACACCCAAACAAGACATAGCGGGCGACAAGCTCGTCTTCGGAAACGACTTCGATCACCCTATTCGCGACCGGTTACCGCCGCTGTTCGACAAAGCGTTCGGGGTAGTCAAGTGGTGGATCGACCCGGGGCTAGACGGCGATGTCTACGCAGACGAGCCGTATCTCTATGGCGCGCTTCTTTCCTCGATAAACGTCCTGCGCATTGGTAGCAAGAAGGACACGGATAAGCCGGCCAAGGCTGACTTGGAGGGTGAGGCACAAACAGAAGGAGATGTAGAAGTGCCTGGCTCGGACGGCGAGGCTGTAGTCTACGAAGAAGGCGCAGATGGCGACGGCGTGGAAGTCAGGAAGAGCAAACACGTACCCGACAGAGCCAGCGCAAGACAAAAGTTCTTCCTCACGGA